GTCTCGAACCCCTGAGCTCAGACAATCCTCTCGCCTTGGCCTCCCAAAGTGCTGGGATTACAGGCTTGAGCCACCACACCCAGCCTCCGAAAACATTTTTATCCCCCCACCACAGCCACCCTCACTATCCTGCCTTCTGCCCTGACCAGCAGGGGTCAGCCATACCTGGACTAGAAACTCTCTTCACCTCCCTCAGTCACCAGCCCATTTCACAGGGAAGAAAGTTGAGGTCTGAGAAGGGAAGTAAGTGCCCCTGGTCCTTTGTCAGTTTGCACTGCTCCCATGGTGCCTGATGACCCTGGGGATAGAGTGGAGGCTGCCAGGCCCCCTCTCACAGCCACTCTCTCTGCAGCCAGTCCGCACGATGCCCGCCTGGGGAGCCCTGTTCCTGCTCTGGGTTACAGCAGAGGCCACCAAGGACTGCCCTATCCCATGCACCTGCCGGGCTCTGGAAACCATGGGGCTGTGGGTGGACTGCAGGGGCCGGGGACTCACGGCCCTGCCTGCTCTGCCAGCTCACACCCGTCACCTCCTGCTGGCCAACAACAGCCTGCACTCTGTGCCCCCGGGAGCCTTTGACCACCTGCGCCAGCTGCAGACCCTCGACGTGACACAGAACCCCTGGCACTGTGACTGCAGTCTCACCTATCTGCGCCTCTGGCTTGAGGACCGCAAGCCCGAGGCCCTGCTGCATGTCCACTGCGCTAGCCCGGGCCTCGCCACCCACCTCCCACTGGGCCAGCTGACAGGCTACCAGTTGGGCAGCTGTGGCTGGCAGCTGCGGGCACCCTGGGCCTCCCCTGGGATCTGGTGGGACAGGGTGTTGATCGCCATGGCTGCACTAGGCCTGGTTCTCCTGACTGGCCTGCTGTACGCCATCTCAGAGCCCCTGAACTGAGCCCAGGCCCCACAGACTTCCCCCAAGGCCAGGGGACCAGTCCCTGAGGCAGCTCCCCAGACCCCACCAACTCTGATCAGCCCAAACCATGAGAAGCCCAAAATAAACGGACTGCTCAGCCATTTTATTTAAGTTCAGAGATTTTTTTCCCCCTCTCGGCACCCAAGTCTGGCTCCTTCTGAAAATCTGGCTTCATTTTGTTTTAACCAGGTTAGAGTCAGGGCTTCTCTGTGCCTGAAGTTCCTAGTAAAACGGACTGCCCGCCTCCGCATCTAGGCACCCCCAACTGCAAGCTCTGGATACCCGAAGCCAGGCCCCACTGTCTGCCATCACCTGCTTGTCACGTGGGCCATCCTGCATGACCCAGGCCAGCTTCACCTCAAGATTCAGCCCCTCTCCAGATACCACAGAGAGTTTGCACTCACAGCACAGTGGTGAGCAGAACAGGTCCCCGGGGAAGGAGAGAAGGGGTTTCCATCTCTGCGACAGGCACATCACTTGTTCCAGTGTGGCCTGGGACCACTCCGTCCTGAGGCCACTGTGGGTTCACCCTGCCCTGTCCTTTCCTGACTCATTTCTCTTCCTCTATCTTCTCTCTGTTTCCTCCTCTCTAACCATCTTCTTCGGAATCAAAAGAAATCTCTTCCTTTTTTTTTTTTTTTTTTTTTTTTTTTAGTTGGAGTCTCACTCTGTTGCTCAGGCTGGAGTGTGTGGCAAACTCCTGGCCACCACAGCCTCGAACTGCTGGGCTCCGGCAAGCCCTCCGTCTCAACCTTCCAAGTAGCCGGAGCTACAGGTGCACGCCACCATGGCTGGCTAATTTTTTGATTTGTCATAGAGACAAGTTGCCCAGACTGGTCTCAAATCCCTGGGCTCAGGCAATCCTATCACCTCGGTCTCCCAAAGTTCTGGGATTATAGGCATGAGCCATCATACCCTGCTCTCTTCATTTCCCGTGGAAAACAACTTTCCCACATGTGCTGACATCAGCCACCTCCAAACCCTGGGGCGCCCCTCCTACCATAAACAATGATCGTCAAATTCTTCAAGCAAGACAAGTCTCTTTCTCTGAGGAGAGGGTACCAGATGTTAAAACAATAAACTTTTCTCCACTATATGATATAATATTTACAGGTCTGTGACTGGCCATGCCGAATCCAAGTATAATGACCCCAAGACCCCTCCCCTCAAGGAGTTCCATGTCGTAACCGGCAGACCAATGCCAGCTTGGCAGGGGGCAGAGGAGGCTGTGGGTCCAAAGATGCCACCAGAGAGACCAAGCAGGCACAGAGTGCAACCGGAGGACACTGACTCATAAAGGTCAGATGAGAACAGGAGTCCTAAACTTGGAGGCAGGGGGACAGTAGGGAGTGGTGGGGTCTTTGGCAAATCAGAGAGCCTCTGTTTCATCCAAAAAAGCTCAGCTGATTGCTGCCGTGTGGGGACGTGGACCCAGGTACCAGGCTTCCCATTCTTCCAGAGACACTGTAAACCTAGATTTTTATGTGAAGTCTCTGAATTCCTTAGGTGTTGGAAACTAAATCAAAACTTTAAAAAAATACATTGAAGGGCGAAGAAAACACATCAGTCGATTGGCTGGAATCCATGGGCTGAATCTGGTTTTGGCATCAGAATCAGCTATTGCCTGGCTGCCTAATGAGAACCACCACAGAAGCTGGCATCTGCTCCCTGGGCACTGGGCATGGGCGCAGTCCTGCATGGAGCACCTCATGGGGGTCCCTCTCAGGTGTCCCCGGGAACCCTGTGAGGAGCTGTTCTCACCGCGGAGGATGCAGGCCCAGGTACCTACATGCTACCTTTACACACGAAAAGTGCCCCTTCAAGCTTCCAGGCACATGAAAGCCCTGGAACTAAGGACTTTCAGTCCCCAAGCCCCTACAGGCTGCAACACAGATGCCCCGCCCCCAAACTCTGCCCCTGTGCTTTCCGGAGGCGTGTGTACACGTCAGCGAATTCCGGTGACTTCTCAGCTAAGGACTGCTGATGTGTTGGTGGGATCACCGGGTGGGGTTGAGACTGTCTTCCTGTTGCAGAGCCAATTTCGGGGAGGATGGCACTGGTAGAGCCAGCTTCCTGATATGTATTCTGGGCCCAGGTGGGGCCTTGGGTCTGTCAGAGTGCAAAGTCTGAGAAATCTCAAATACTGTTCTTAGGTGTTTACAATAGATGCAGCCCTGTAATGCAAGTCCCTTGGCTATTAGCTACTAGCTCCAGGCAATGATTTGAGCCGAAGTTTCACTCTGTCACCCAGGCTGGAATGCAGTGGCACACGCTCATGGCCACCACAGCCTTGACCTGCTGGGCTCTGGTGATCCTTATGCCTCAGCCTTTCAAGTAGCTGGAACTACAGGTACGTGCCACCACACGGAGCTAATTTTTTCATTTTTACTGTAGAAACGAGGTCTTACCAAGTTGCCCAAGCTGGTCTTGAATTCCTAGGTTCAGGCAATCTTCTCACCTCTGCCTCCCAAAGTGCTGGGATTATAGGCGTGAGCCACCGTACCCGGCCCACTTCTGTCCTTAAACTTACGTGCCGTGTGTGGTGGGCTTGGTATGACCGGAGTTGTAGGTTGGTAATAAAAACTTACCAAGGCCGGGCTCCGTGCCTCAGCCTGTAATCCCCACACTCCTAGGGAGGCCAAGACGAGTGGATTACCTGAGCCCTCAGGTTCGAGACCACTCTGGGCAACTTGGCGAGACGGCATGTCTACAATAAATAAAAAAATTAGCCAGGCATAGTAGCACATGCCTGTAGTTCCGGTTGCTTGGCAGACTGAGGCGGAAGGATCACTGGAGCCTAGCAAGTCGAGGCTGCGGTGGCTGTGAGCGTGCCACTGCCCTCCATCCTGAGCAATAGAGTGAGACTCCAACTAAAAATAAATAAATAAAAAGAATTGGCCAAGACAGTTATGAATAAAGAAAGGTAGATTTATTTATTTATTTATTTTTAATTTATTTTTTTTTGAGTTGGAGTCTCACGCGGTTGCCCAGACTAGAGTGCAGTGGCCGCTCCTGGCCACCACAGCCTCAACCTGCTGGGCTCTGGTGATCCTTCCGCCTCAGCCTTCCGAGTAGCCGGAATTACAGGCGCACACTACAACACCCGGCTGATTTTTTTGATTTATTGTAGAGATGAGGTCTCGCTGCCCAGGCGGGTCTCGAACCCGCGGGCTCAGGCAATCCACTCACTTCAGCCTCCCAAAGGTGCGGGATTACAGGCTGAGCCACCAAGCCTGGCTATTTATTTATTTTTGACTTGGAGTCTCACTCTGTTGCCCAGGCTGGAGTGCAGTAGCATGCTCACAGCCACCACAGTCTCGACCTGCTGGACTCATACGATCCTTCCACCTCAGCCTTCCAAGTTTCTGGAACTACAGATGCATGCCACCACACCCAGCTAGTTTTCGTGATTTATTGTAGAGATGAGGTCTCGCCAAGTTTCCTGGGCTGGTCTCGAACCCCCAGGCTCAGGTAATCTTCTCACCTCGGCCTCCCAAAGTGCTGGGATTACAGGCTGAGTCACTGCACTCAGTCTAATTTTTTGACTTATTACAGACATGAGGTCTCACCAAGTTGCCCAGGCTGTTCTCCAACCCGTGAACTCACGCAATCCCCTCACCTTGGCCTCCCAAAGTGGACCAATTTATTTTCAAAATAAGTTTAGTCTTATACTTATCTTGATCATTTGCATAATGTACAACAAAAATAAGTATTTGCAAACAGGCTTATTGTTAAATTGGTTTTGTTGAAAATGATTTCCCATAAGGAATCAGATTAGACCTCTTAAAATCTCTTGAGCTCTGCCAAGGATCTGAGCCTGCAAACATCTGTATGAATTGGGTGAATTCCTCTCTTCCAGATCCCCAAATAATTCGAGAGTCCAGGCCCATCAGAGAGCAAACATCTCCACTCACCACAGGTCAGGAGCCCTGCAAAGGAGCTCACAACGTACAAGGCCAGCCTTTCCAGGGGCTTTTATCAGCTCTTTATAGATCTCAATCTCAATTCCTCAAAGCAGCCTGCTCATATCTGAAATGTCATTCCAACCAAAGCCTTGGTAAAATAACCAGTATCGCCAATCATGTCTTATTACAAAAGAAAATGGATTCTTATTGAATTTATGCAAATAGTTATATTACCATAAATCAATATTCACAAATATTGATTTCCAATATTTCCAGATTCTGGAGAAATTAGGTAGAAAGAGGAAATATTCTTCAATTTTTTTCATAAGAGCCTACTTTACTCAATTGTCAAATGTTTTATGCTGGGCGTGGTGTCTAAGACTGTAATCCCAGCACTTTGGGAGACCAAGGTGAGAGGATTGCCTGAGCCCATGGGTTTGGGAGCAGCCTGGGCAACTTGGTGAGACCACATCTCTACAAAAAAAAAATTAGCTGGGTGTGATGGCACACACCTATGGTTCCAGCTACTTGGAAGGCTGAGGTGGAATGATCAACTGAGCCCAGCAGGTCAAGGCTGCAGTGGCCATGACCATGCCACTGCACTCCAGCCTGGGCAACAGAGTGAGACTCCAACTCAAAAAAAAAGTAGTAAATGTCTCCAAAAAAAAGCTTTCTTGAGTCTGAAAATAAAAAGAATTAGCAACGCTTCGAATAAAAAGATCATAAAAATCATTTCAGTCTTGTATTAGTTCATTCCATGTAATTAATTCTTGTTGTGTTCCATATTGAATCAGCAATCCTTATAAACACATACATTCTCCAATATAAGTCCTGGGAGCTTATTTTATTTTATTTTTTGTTTTCGTCCATTGACACCATCCACAAAGTTGTCAGAAACCTGCACCCAAGAGCATCTGTCAGAATCCTCTAGCTGATTACAAATCACTTTTGAAAAGGATTGAAGAAAAACAGTAATTGTAAATGACTAAATCTTAAAACAGTCATGGTCAAAGGCACAATTGACAAGAAAATTGGATTATTTCAGTTGCTTACAACAATTTAACATAATAATTAGTATTTCTGATAACATATACTAAGACATATCAGAATTATAGCAATGTCATACTATTTTGAATGTATACCAATAACATATAAATACACTCCAAGGAAAATTAAACATCCCTACATATTTAACAATGTTTCCTGTGTAA